AACCTCACGGTCTATATGATAGCTGAGTTAAGAAGGTGTTACATGAAATGTAAACAGGACTGCCGCTGGCTATTGTTCATCCAGATGCAGAGAGACCTGGTACTCTTCCAGGCTGTCAAAAAGACTCAAAATCTCAACACATCTCTACAAATTCCTCACTAACTGACAACCTGAGACTGTACGGAAGCATTATCCTAAGATTATTTTTAAAAAACATGTTATTTCTCTCCCCTTCAAAAAAAGTGATCCCATCCTGTGGGAGACTCATTGCTCAGATGGACACGTGAGCTAGAAACACCATGAGGTTAAACAAACAATTAGAAAAAAAATAGGCATTTAAGATCCTTCCATCCCTTCTAGTTGCATGAACCTGAACTAAAGTCAGCCACACAGACCTGCCATTGCAGTTAGCCAAGCCAGTGTCATGGCTTTGATCCTCATTTGGCAACAGAGCTCTATTTACTTCCTCTGAGCACAGAATGAACCCAGTTCCTTTATGAAATGCATTCTGTATAAAAGATAGTATTGGGACAACTGATGAACCACTGGCATAAAATAAATTTATCTAATCCAATACATTCCATGGAAGTTCCCAATAAATACAAAACAGATGAAGCCATAAAAGCACTACAGGAAAATGTAGGACTACATTTATATTGTCTTGGGGCAAGGAATGAGTTTCCAAACATGACCCAAAATCCAGAAACTTAAAAAGGAAGAGATATCAAAAGTAAAAACTTTAGTACTAAAGCACAAGCAACAAAACAAAAAGAATAAGTTGGATTTCATCAAAATCAAAACCTTCTGTGCTTTAAAAGACTTCACCAAAACAATGGAAAGACAAACCCACAAATTGGAAAAAACATTTGCAAATTGTATATCTAGTAAGGAACTAGTACTGACAATATATGTAGAACTTCTACAACTTGATAATAAAAAGGCAAATAACTAGATTTTAAAATGGACAAAGGATGCAAATAGACATTTCTCCAGAGACACACAAATGGCCAATAAGCACATGAAAAGATGTTCAACATCATTAGTCATTAGGGAAATGCAAATTAAACCTACAATGAGATACTGATTTAAACACATTAGGATGCCTATAATAAAAAAAATAAGTGTTGGCTAGGATGTGAAGAAATTGGAACCCTCAGATATTATTGATGGGAATGTAAAATTGTCTAGTTGCTATGGAAAACAGAGAAGCAGCAATCTAAGGTTTCTCTTGAAGGATGGGTGGCTTAGCACTCTCTGGGGAATGAGTGGGAATTCATTTGGTGAAAGAAAGGCTTTTTAGACAGAGAAACAGAATGTGAAGGCCTAAAGATAAGCATTACCAGTTCATATGTTTGGAAATAAAAGGAACCTCGTGGTCCAGGGCTGAAAAATAGGGCAGCAGGCTAAGGGCTTCAATGTATTTTATAGGCAGTGGAGAGCCATTAAAGAGAATTTGTTTGTTTGCTTCTTTAAAATGTTTTCTAATATTCAAAAGAGCTGAAAGCACAGTAGAGTGAACACTCAAACTAGTATATCCAATATCTGGATCCTATAATGAACACTTTGCATTATTTGCTTTATCATTGTCCATCCAATGATATTTCTTATACTTGTGATGCATTTCAGAGTTGCAGATATCAGTATACTGGCCTCTAAACATATTTAGAGTTCCACATTTGCTTATAATTCCTTTTGAAGGTAAAGTTTACATAGACAAATTTTACGTGTACCATTTGGTAAGTCTTGGTAGATGAATATACTTGAAAAATCCGTATCCCCACTAAAATACACAATGTTACCATCACCCCAAAAAGTTCTCTCATGTCCCTGTTCAATCACTCCCTGTCCGTATCCCAGCCCTGACAGCCATGAATCTCATCTCTAACATAACACATTAGTTTGCAAGTATTATTACTTAATATGTTTGGGCTCATTTAGTATGTACTCTTTTTTCCCCTTTGGCTTCTTTCACTTAGCATAATGTTTTGACATTTATCCATGTTTTTATGTGTACCAGTAATTTATTCCATCATATGAGTGTATATCATAAATTATCTACCCACTGATTCTCCTATTGATACTTGGGTTGCTCCCAGTTTTTTGCTTTTATTTGGCTATTATAAATAAAGCTGCCATGAACATTTTTTGCAAGTCTTTTTTTAGACATAAGCTCTCATTTCTCTTGAATATACATGAAATTGCAGAGTCAATGCATAGTCTATGTTCAGTTTTATAAGAAACTTTACATTCCTACCAACAATGTATGAGTTTCAGTTGCTCCACATCCAGACCGACATTTGGTATTGTCTGTCTAATTTTAGCCATTCTTGTGGGTGTGTTGTGATGTCTCTTGTGGTTTTAATTTGCAGTTCCTTAATGACTTTGGACATCTTCATCTAACTTCCTTTGTGAAGTTTCTGCTCAAATCTTATACTCATTTTTAGCGGCTATCTTTTCATTAATATACAATAGTTTTAAGCAGAGGTCTGACAAGATCACTTTCATATTCCTGATGGTTCTCTCTGGCCACTGCAAGGAGGAAAAACTACATCCAGGAGACCAGTTAAGAGGTTAAGGTGATGACCCAAGCAGAGATGACATGGGTCTGGGCTTGAGGGGAGGCAAAGAGAAGTAATATTCCAGTTTCAAAAGATACTAAGGGGCAGGATTTCTGGCATGAGGGAATGAATAAATCATCTCCTCAAAAAGCAACTCTAACTGTGGATAATCAAAGACAGCCATTTTAGGGAACAGTGAGAACAGCTGGAGTCTGCGGCCTTTTTGCCCAGGCCTGCTCACATTCCCCCCTCCCCCAGACTAGTTCAACTGAGGTGGAGTAAACAGGCCATAAAAACCAGCAACTGCACTGCAGCTGCTAAAGGGGACCCACGTGACTTGCAGTATTGTCAGTTAATGTGGCAATCTCAGTAGCAAGTGAATAGGGAGAGCCAGCAGCTCCTCTAGCCTGAGCAAGCCACCAACCAGTAAACTCAACAGGGATTTCATAGGAAGGTAGGAGGTGAGACAACAGATGCAACCTGTTGACAAGACTGTCACTGTCACCTACAGACAAGGGGGCTCCTATAAGGCCAGCAGAAATGTTTTCTGGAGAAAAAATATATAACAAATAACATTTCATAATTATACTCCAAAACTATAGTTGAGTCTATGTGCCTAAGAATCAAGGTTGCATGAATTATAATTGTTTTTAGGGTGAAGATCATCATTTATTTAAATGTGATGTTTTATCTTCACGCATGGCATTAGTATGTTGGCACAGAGGAGAGTGTCTGGGAAATGCATCATGTGCTTATCAAAATGTTTCAGTTTCACACTTGTATTTTTTGCTAGGACCCCTTTTATCTTCTTTTACTGACATCCATAATGACAGAGGGTAAAACTTGAGCTAACAACTGATTCTTTACAAGACAAGTTCAAATATGAGCCTAATTAAAGAATTTCCTAACACTTCCTCATTGCTAAAGCATGTACTTTTAATAAGGAATAAAATCATTCAGACTTTTATTCATGTGCATGCATACATACACTACTACTGCCCTAATCTCCCCATCTGGAAATACCATTTGTCACCCAGGAGTAATTGGCTCATTTGCTGGGTTTGCCCTTTAAATGTTCCATGTTCTCCTGACACCTGCAAGTTTCATTTAGAGGCCTTTAGAGCTTTTTACTCAAGATGACACTGTCTGGAAAGGTGTTCTGAAGGACAAATTTGACTACAGTATCCTTTGATCAGAAGAAAACACTCTTCCCATATGAAAAGTACACAGTTCCTGCAAAAAAGGAGCAAATGCTAGTACGACTGCCAGGACTGTGGGGAGTGTCACAGGGTTACCACCAATAACTTCTCACACACATAACTGTAACAACGTACCATCACAGCAAGTTACAACCACAAACTGCTACAACCTTAGCTTACCATCAGAACAGGTTACAACCATAAATACCAATCACAAATTACAACCACAACCTGTTTTGTCATATCAAGTTTGGCTAATATTCTCTCCATATTAGGATAAAATCTTAACATATTCTATATAATGAAAGCCCAGTGACCAAATGGCGGAATGACCAGAACAACCAGTGGACCAGTCGCTATGATGCGCACTGACCACCAGGGGGCAGATGCTCAACGCAGGAGCTGCCCCCTGGTTCTGCGAACCCTGGGCTAATGGGCAGGAACCCAGGCTGCAATTGTTGCCTCCTCCCCCCAGGCTCCTCCTCCTCGCTCCCTGCCACTTCCTCTGGATGTCCACAGGCCACGCAGCACCATCACTGGGCTCAAAGAGCTGACCCCAGAGGCTGGGAGGCAGGTTCATGGCTGCTGCAGGACTGAGGCCTACTCCGCCTCCTCTCAGTGCTATTGTCCCTGGGCCTGGCCCCGACCAGGTCCCCTGGAGAGGTGAGTGTTCTGGCTCCACAGAAGATGCCAGACCAGGGAGCAGCTGCTCAGAGGCAGATCCACAGCCGCTCAGCTGACCGGGATGAGCGGTGCTCCCACAGTGGTCCAATCCCTGCAGGCCACGCTCCCCACCAGTGCACAAATCCCATGCACCAGGCCTCTAGTATTATGATAAAAGTTTTGCATCATTGGTATTTTGGGCAATTAAAAATAACTGGCTTTGGGGGAGGATGTGACTATGAAGTTTTAGCATGAGGGAGTTTGCTTGAGATGGAAGAGTTCTGCATTTTGAATTCAGATTGTATACATGATTATTAAAATCTGCACTTGTGATAAAATGTGATAGACCTAGATGCACACATGTGTACACACACACAAACACACACATGAGTTCATATAAAATCTAGTAAAATTTAAATAAGGTTGATGCTTGACTTAATAACAGTATTATACCAATATCACCTTCCTGGTTTTGACAATGTACTATGGTTACGTAAGATAGGGGAAACTAGGTGATAGATACACAGCTTTTACTTCTTGTGGGCATTAGAATATGTCAAAATAAAAAGATATTTTAAAAACTGTTTGGCTTGCCTGGCCAATGTGGCTCAGTGGTTGAGCATTGACCCATAAACCAAGAGGTGACTGGTTTGATTCCCAGTCAGGGCACATGCCCAGATTGCAGGCTCAATCCCCAGTAGGGGCAAGCAGAAGGCAACTGATTGTTTCTCCTCGATGTTTCTATCTCTCTATCCCTCTTCTTCTCTCTCTCTCTCTCTCTCTCTCTCTCTCTCTCTCTATCTCTCTATCTCTCTATCTCTTTATCTCTTTCCCCTTCCTCTCCATGTTTTGCTTTGTTTTATTTTTGGTTTTTAAGTAGGTTGATTTGAGAGAGGCTATGGATCTCCTTAAAAAATGATTGTCACAATTTTTGCTTCTCCCATCCCAAGAGTGACAGGCTTCCCAGGTGGGGGACTTCCCAATGAGTTCTGTAACCCTCAGTTACTGTAATTGGTGCTGCCTTGGCAAATGGCTTCTTCTAATGTAGAGACGTTAACCCATGCAGCACCCTGGCTTTAGGAACATCAGAGAAAATGCGTGACCTTGCCAAACTGTCTTATAAACTCTCCTCCTTGAGCTGCAGAGCTCGCATCATTCCAAGTGAACCCCAAGTTGCAAGCCCAGATATCTGGGAGCTACCTCTGACTTCCCAGAGGCTAATCATGTAATCACATTGTAAATGAGAATAAGCTGTTTGGACAGATAAATGCCCCTACCTCTACCCTTGTCTGGTTTGTAGTCACCACCCCCTAATACGTCTTCAAGATCCTTGTCCGAAAAACCTAGAGAAAAAAAAAATATACTTCAATGGCAAAAATACATTTTTCAGTGACAAGAAACTTGTATAGGTTAATGTTGTCCAACAACCCCAGACAATAATTGCCACTTAAGAATGTTCTTGATCAGTGTGGTAGACAAAATTCTAAGATGGCCCACAAGATTCCCTCCCACTAGTATACCCATCCTGTATAATATCCCATTACTTTGAGTGCCAGCAGGACCATGAATAGGATGGCTATTGCCCCCGTGATTAGGTTATATTACATTACAAAAGTGAAGGGATTTAGCAGATGTAATTAAGGCACCAAATGAGTATGGCTTTGTATTCATCAAACGGGAGATTATCCTGGAAAGGCCTGACTTAATCAGATGAGACCTTTAAAACAGTGTTGAGACCTTCTCTGAATTCAGATACTAGAAACAACAGAGTTAGTTGTCTCTTCCACTCTACCCCTCTCTGTCTTTGTACTGTCTGGCTCCTGCTAGTCCTGGAGAAGCAAAGATCCATTAGTTCTACAATTGCAAGGAAATGTACTCAGCCAACAACTACATGACCTTGGAAGAGGACCCAAGCTCAGATGAGACCACAGATTTGGTCAACATCTTGATGGAAGCTGTATGAAGCCCTAAACAGAAAACTCAGCTTAGCTGTTCCTGAACTCCCCAACAAAGGAAATTGAGATAATAAATGGGTGTTGTCTTAACTCACTAAGTTTGGATCACTTGTTATGCAGCAATAGAAAACTAATACTAGGAAACAGTAATTAATTTTATTATAGCTCAACCACTAAGTACATATTGTTTAATATTCTATGTGATGAAATGAAAGTATGCTTAAAGCATTTCTGTTGCACTCCAAAACATATTTTAATTCCTAAAAGCACCTGCGTGATTGGTTCAGTTCTGAGTTGTATTAGATGCTTTGTGTCATGGAAGACAACTTTCACAGGAAAGATTGAGTGATGGGCAAACTATGATTGTGGTATCTTAAATATTTGGCTGATGATTTCTTAATAATGAATGAAATAGGCTGTCACTTAAAATCCCTGGAGGTATTTGTTGTCAATGATAAGATTTCAAACAAGAATTAAAATTTCAAAAATCTTTATCTACCACTGTGAACCAAATAACTTCTCTCTACTTAAATACTTTTTCCACCCTAGCTGGTTTGGCTCAGTGGACAGAGTGTCAGCCTGTCGACAGAAGGGTCCTGGGTTTGATTCCGGTCAAGGGTACATGCCTGGGTTATGGGCTCGATCCCCAGTAGGGGACATGCAGGAGGCAGCCAATCAATTATTCTTTCTCATCTTTGATGTTTCTATCTCTTTCTCCCCTCTCCCTTCATCTCTGAAATCAGTAAAAATATTTTTTTAAAAAAAGACTTTTTCTGATGAGATGGGTGGTAATATCAACAAAAGTGAATTTAGGGAATTGCGTAATGAAACGGCATTATTTGAAAGATCAAAGGACCTACGGGCAACAATATTTTCCAAACGACCAAAACACAATGTACATAATCAAGAATGGGGTTTAACTCAATTATGGGAAGTTCACTGATATAATTTTTTTAAAAATATATTTTATTGATTTTTTACAGAGAGGAAGGGAGAGAGATAGAGATTAGAAACATCGATGAGAGAGAAACATCGATTAGCTGCCTCCACAATTTTATATTCCACACTAGATGCCCAGTGCATGAAATTTGTGCATGGGTAGGGTCCCTAGGCCTGGCTGATGATCAGGGCCGATTGGGCCCTTCCTTCCAGCTACCTGCCCAGGCCTTCCTTCGTTCCACGCCACCCCCTGGTGGTCAGCACATGTCATAGCAAGCAATCGAACACCTAGTCTTCCGGTCAAACTCCCGAGGGGACATTTTGCATAATAGCCTTTTATACGTAGAGACTGCACTTAACCTGAAAGAAATAACTACTGGTTGAGTTTTAAGTTTTTAGTGTCTTATCCAAGAATGTCCACAGTGATCTGAAAAGTCTATTAAAATATTCCTCCCTTCCCCAGCTGCATAGCTGTATGAGGCCAGATTCCCTCCATATACTTCAACCATCACAACATGTTACAACTGAATCTGGAACCAGCAGTGAGACTCTAGCACATCCACTAAGATAGCCATCATATCAATTTGCAAAAATTTTTCTCACTAAAGTCCTCTTTTATCTTGCCAAACATAGTTATTTCACATGATACTATACTATTTATGTTATCATGCATGAGCTTATTGCTGTTCATTTTTCATTAATAAATACTTTTTTTCAGTTTTAATTTCAAAGATGGTAGATATTGATAGATGTGACCCACATAACCAAAAACCCTTGAGATCCTCAATAATTTGGGGGGTCCAAAAATTTGAGAACATTGTTTTAGGGTTCTCCTGTGCCTTGAAGTGCCCCCAGCTCTGCCAGACCAGGAGTGGCTCTGTGGGCTGTAGTAGTGAATGAGCTACAACTCGACCAGTGAGCTACAGTGCTGGCCAGTGCTTTTAACCAGCTACAACTTACCTCCTCCTCCTGCACTTGGCTTCCTGCGGCCATCATCTCGATCATTTCGATCATCCAAGGCATCAGCCAAGTCAAAATCATCAACTTCATAAAAGAGAAAATCAATTGGTTAAATGACAGGTAGCTCACTTGGACACTACCCCAGAGGGAGCTCTACGGGGTCTTTCCTCATTGCCCTCATTAGAGTAGCATGTTACCTGCAGGCTTTGCCGGAGCTCTGGTCGTTCCAGGCCTCTTGGTTGAGATGGATGGTGAGGTGGATGTTGTCCCACATTCGACCTATAGACCTCCAATAGTTTTGACATTTTTTGCAGAGATATTAAAAACCACCCTAAAATTCATATGGAATCTAAAAAGACCCCAAATAGCCAAAACAAACTTGAAAAACAACATAGTTGAAGGATTCACACTTTCTTAATTTCAAAATTTACTACAAAGCTATAGTAATCAAAACAGTGTGGTACTGGCATAAGAACAGACATATAAACCAATGGAATAGAACAAAGTACCCCAGAAATAAACTCTCACATATATGGTCAATAGATTCTTGACAAAGGTTCCAAGAAACTTGATATGCAAAGAATGAAGTTGGAACCTTATCTTACACCATATATAAAAATTAATTCAAAATTGATCAAAGACCTAAACACAAGAGCTAAAACTATACAACTCTTAGAAAAAATACAGGGGAAAACTTTCATGATATTGGATTTGGTGATAATTTTTTGGATATGACACCAAAAGCACAGGTAAACTGATAGATAAATTTGCCTGGATCAAAATTTGAAAGCTTTTGTACAAAAGACACTATCAAGAGAGTGAAAAGACAATCCATAGAATAAGAGAATATATTTGTAAATCACATATCCAATAAGATATTAAAATCCAGACTATATAAAAGAATCCCACAACTCAAACAATAAAAACCAGTGATATTTTTAAATGGGCAAAGGGCTTAAATAGACATGTCTTTAAAGAAGATACACAAATGACCAATAAATGCATGTAAACATACTCAGCATTGCTAGACACTAGGAAAATGCAAATTGAATCCATAATGAGATAGGACTTCACACTCATTAGGATAACAATTATCAAAAGAAAAAAACAGCAAGTGTTGCAGAGGATGTGAATAAATTGAAACCCTGGTACATTGCTGGTGGAAATGTAAAATGGTGCTGCTGTTGTGGAAAACAGTTTGGTGATTCCTCAAAAAGTTAAACATAGGTGATGTTTAAAAAATGCTGGGAATATACTTAATGCCAATGGATCATTTTAGTTAACCATTTAACTAAAATGGTTAAAATGATAAATTTTGTTATGTATGTTTACTACAATAAAAACACAATTCAATGCCCTAGTTGGTTTGGTTCAGTGGATAGAGGATCAGCCTGTGGACTAAAGAGTCCTGGGTTCGATTCCGGTCAAGGGCACAAGCCTGGGTTGCAGGCTCGATCCCCAGTGGGGAGCGTGCAGGAGGCAGCCAATCAACGATTCTCTCTCATCATTGATGTTTCTATTTCTCTCTCCCTCTCTGAAATCAATAAAAATACATTTAAAAAAAACACCACAATTCAACCTAGGTGAAACACATAATCTCAATATTCCTATAACCATTAATGAAACTGAATTTTTTAATTTAAAACTTCCAAAAAACTTAATTTCCAGGTTTTTATGGTTTCACTACTGAAGTATACCAAATATTTAAAGAGGAATTAACACCAATTTCACACAATCTCTTCCAGAAAACAAAGGAAGACTAATTCCCAAGAGGAAGACTCATTTTATGAACCTGATAACAGAAAAAGAGCATATAAAAAATTTACAGATCAATATTTTTTATGCATGAATACATAAAATCTTCAACAAAATACTAGTGAACTGAATAGAATATATAAAAAGAATTACACATCATGAACAAATGGGATTTATTCTAGTTATGCATGTCTGGACCTACATTTAAAAACAAATATAAACCATCATATCAGCAGGCTAAAGAAGGAAAATCATCCTATCTAATAATAGACAAACATGGTAACTGACCATACCTTTGCTATGCCTCCCATTGGCTAATCAGTGAGATATGCAAATTAACTGCCAACAAAGATGGCGGTTAATTTGCATACATAGGCGTGAAGCGGCGGAGCGAAGACTGAAGGCGGCTCCGGCCAGAGCAGCAAAGGCTTAAAGGCAGCTCTGGCCGGAGCAGCGAAGACTGAAGGCAGCTCCAGCTGGAGCGAAGGCCTGGGTCCCGGGTGCCGGAGGAAAATTGGTGCCGGAAGCCGGGGGAAGGAAAGGCCTATTGCACGAATCTTTTCATGCAACAGGCCTCTAGTCTATATATATAAAAGGCTAAGTGTCTGTCTGTTTGACCATAGCTATGGCACACACTGACCAACCTGGGGTCAGACGTTCAACACAGGAGTTGCCATGATGCACACTGGCCATTTAAAAATAAACAGCACCATGGACCTGGCACCAACAAACCAAAACTCAGCTTCCCCCAAGTGGGACACAGGCCTCGCCACCCCCCCGGAGTGACAGCCCACCAAATTGCAGCCAATGCTGCTGAGACCCCATGGCACAAAATGCGACCCACAGCCCAGCCCAGCCTGGAAAATGGTAGCTGTTGGCACCAGGTCATGATGTCACATAGCAACCCCTGGCTTCCTCTCCCTAGCTACTAGCCTCCTTGGAGTTTCTTCAGCCCAGGAACACGACTTGCTTTATAGCCAGGTGCAAACATTTTACACTGTAACCAAATATCTGTGAAGCATTTTTATGTGCCTCATCTCATTTGATCTTCACAGAATAGGTAGATAGGAGACTCAGTAGATCCTATTTTCTTTTCATTGGCTTGTAAATGGAGATTTTGAAAGTTTAGAAACTTAACCTGACTG